ATAAGATGGCTGATTTAGTTTCTTCTTTCTAGCCAATGTCTATCGGGTCAATGTTAAATTTTGCGGAAGTTAATGTTTATATCCTCTCTCCCCAGTACTCACTCCCCTGCGTACGTGTACTCCCCCTCACACTTTACTGCATATAAGCTCACAAAGCACACGATCGTGGTTGCCATTTCATCCTACCTGATTGATTTGCGGACATATGCACCTTCAGGTGATCATGTACTTGTCACTGGTAATAAGGTAGCTCTTTGGTCAGGATACCTATCTCCAGCAGATCGCCGTGTACATGTTCGCTTTCTACACTGACTGGATTTCAACCGCTACCCAAATAAATTTGCTATCAGTACATCATCGTACTCCTCACCAAATTATATGCTTTGGGCCTCTTGGTTATACGCACCTGCCTCCAACAGCCCGTTCATTATCGGCACGAAGGCGGTCAGATTCCCCGGCCGCCTACCTCTGGAATGGTTCCCACGTAAGCGTTGTAACGTCCACCCCGATTTTATTGCAATTGCGACTGCATAGGCCTGCACAGCATGTCATTATATTCGGAGCCCAATCGTACGCGATTGGCTCGATGGTCTTATGCACTTGCCGCTAACAGTTGCCGCTAACAGTTGCCGCTAACAGTTTGTTCGTTATCGATATCAACAGAGCCCATCGTCACGGCTGCCCTATCTCCGATAATTGTGTGCACATGTTCACTTATTATGTCATTGCATCTTAATGGTTAGCAGCATAGACGTGCAAGCACACCATCATGCTAGTAGTTAAATTCACGTAATCGGCTGGCTGGTCATATGCATCTCACGCTGGCAGTTTGTTCATTATCTGCTCGGAGATTTTCGATGTTCTGACTACCGCGCAGCGTTGCACCCCACAGCTAGCGGTCGCGTCGCATCGAAGTCTCGGCACCAGCGATGTCGCCGTCCTGCACAGAGCGGGAGAAAACCTGACTTACGGCACAGCTCATGCACGGCATCCCCTGCTGGAACAAGCACATTGGCATGTGCCGAATATGGCTTATGTGTTTTACACACTGCTGAGTCTGAACAACTGCATACACGCCATGCGCACCTCCGTCTGAGGAAATATGACTGGGAACTCCGACTTCTGAATAAAGAACGGTGAAAACCTCGCCATGATAACGAAACGTTGCCTTCCTTTTCCTATCCACACCAATCAGCTGGTACCAAGGCCACCGGCACGCCCACTGAGCTACCTCGTCCCAAGCAAGTGCTTCCAGTGCACTGTCACGTGCAGGATCTGATGCGAACTCAACGTGATGCTGCATCCCAAGATGCGGCACTTGTGGAAAAAAAACATTTGTTTTGGGTGCACAGAATGGGGATTTGTATGTCAGGATCATAATTAGGGTGACGCTAGGGCAGAAAACGGCTTCATATGGTCTCAACAAAGCGAACTGACAGCCAAAACGCTCCATGTTGTGCTTTTCGTACCAGCCCATATGGTTCATGTGATAAAGGCATAATTTTCGGAAAGGTGTAGATCAAAATATACCCGGCACTTCTTTGAAGAGCTCAGCACTGGAATAAATAATGTTTCATGGTTTTGCACCGGTCCAGCAACCTTTTTTTGTTTGTTTGCCGGAGCCAAACTCCCATGGCGTGCCGGCAAGGTTTTCCTGCACGGTGCGCCATGGCCTTTTCGATTATCGCCAAGCATTGCTCGGTCTCAGTGGCTGCAGCAGTCGGTAGCGCGCTGGGCTCGTAAGTGGGGGTCGTGCGTTTGTGCCCGCGCCGGTCCATTCTGTTCCTCCAGCTCTCTAAGAGGGGTAATGGATCGTGTACTGCAGCCTATGCATGCTATAAGTGTAATGCAATATTCATTTCCTTGATTTTGTTTTTGCAAAGCATTTTGGACAAAACGCATACATCAGCTCGAAACTAATTCGCCGTCAAAAAGCACGCTACCGAATTTTTAGTAGAAGCTTAAGTTCTAGCATATAGTTGCACATTTTGCAGATGTTCGGCAATACACTGCAATATTTGTACTGGGCTTCGTTCTGCCCGGCTAATATTACCCTGAGTTTAAACATCACACATCATAAGTGGGGTGTGCTCGCATAAATTGGCTGGTATAAGGCTAGACACGACACTGAGCAGCGTCTTGACATTTCAGACATGCCTTTCCGAGTCATCTGCCATGCCATTTTACGCAATTAAAAATAAGCCGGACAGCTTCTTCGATCACGCAGTAAGCGCATCTCTAGTGGAATGCGTGCGACAAACGAGGAAATTCAGTGAACTGTATTGGTAGATACCACCAAACACCTGCATTGATAGCACTAAGTGCGCAATACCTCAAAACAAAAATGCATGGCCATTACATGAATAACTGAGCCAGAATAAGCCATTTCTTAACTGCATCCAAGTGGAACTATGATTAAAGCACAGGTTTTCAGCAAATGAGTGGTGGGTCGCAAGATCGAGCGAAATCAAGCAACAGGACGTAACCCATCCGCAAAAAACATGGCCGCAACTCCGCAGACCTCATGTCATTAAACAATAAGATCAGCTTTGTAGGCAGCACTTATGAACATGGCTATAAATAAGAGATAAATGAGGCCACAGACACCACAAAGGCCAATCGAACGACAGCGGGCTTTGACGGGCCTTGGTTTGAAACAAAATGGAGAAGGGGAAACGAACACCTGGGTGACAACAGGAAGGCACGAAAATAAGTGATTTCCTTTCTTGGAGCTTTTCTCTGTGAGCTTCAAAATCAGGTTGCATGTTACTTGAAAGGTGAAGGCGTTTCGTGATCTGCTTACTGTGCTGATGCTTGTCGTGTATCAACCCTATCAAAACAGGAAACTTAATCCGCACGCTGCAGGAAGGAGGGGGGGGGGGGGGGCGACACCACATTCGTTTTCTCACATGACGGTCTACCAATAGTTGTCCGCAAACGGGTGTTCTTGCGTCTATCGAATAAAGAACGTGACGTCCAGTAGCAAGAAGGAAACCAACCACATCCGCCAGTCTGCTTGTGTGCAGTTACTGCAAGGCAAACTCAGAACGCCCGGTAACAGCGGGCGCTGGCCGGCCCCACCAATGAACGAGAGTTCGCGTCGAGACGGAGCGTCGGGTAGCCCCTCCCCTCCCGCCGATGAACGAGAGTTCGCGTCGAGACGGAGCGTCGGGTAGCCCCTCCCCTCCCACCGATGAACGAGAGTTCGCGTCGAGACGGAGCGTCGGGTAGCCCCTCCCCTCCCACCGACGAACGAGAGTTCGCGTCGAGACGGAGCGTCGGGTAGCCCCTCCCCTCCCACCGACGAACGAGAGCGCGGCTAGAAGCGAAGCGTAATGTAGATCCCCCCCGCACATCATTATAGGTTGCCATTCCGAAGAAATTTCCAAGGTGCGTTTGGAATGGGAGGAATGTGGACAGCGGGCATCGATTAATGGACTTTGAGGTGCTGAGGCGCCAGTGCACCGAAGCGTTGGTGTCTGGGCTCGGCAAGACGACAACCTTGCGGAGATGGTCACCACCACCTGCTGTCTGGTGGGGGAGTCAAATCACGCTGAAGTGGCCGCGGGAAAGTCAGATCACTCTGAAGAGGCCGCGGGGAGTCAGATCGCGGCGAAGTGACCGCGGGTGAGTCAGGTCACTCTGAAGAGGTCGCGGGGAGTCAGATCGCGGCGAAGTGACCGTGGGTGAGTCAGGTCACTCTGAAGAGGCCGCGGGGAGTCAGATCGCGGCGAAGTGACCGCGGGTGAGTCGGGTCACTCTGAAGAGGCCGCGGGGAGTCAAATCAATCTGAAGTGACCGAGGGTGAGTTAGATCGCGGTGAAGTGACCGCGAGTGAGTCAGATCACGCTAAGTGACCGCGAAAAAAACGCAGAGATGGATAGATTACTGCGGAGTCCGGTAACTGACTTGTAATTGGACTTGGATTCTATACTCTGATTCAAGGGGTAAAAACTGGTTTGTTCATAATCTTACGCCAGACATTCCTCGAGTTTGTTCCCGTAAGGCAACCAACTGCTTAAGGGATGAAGGCTTGGGCTTGCTTAAGCATAAGCCTGCTTGCTGCCTAAGGACTGGAAAAGTAATCTAAGTTATCTTTCTGCAAGGAGCAAACATTAGTGCCTACTGAGGAGTTTTCAGCTCCAATAGGTCCCGCGTAACTCAACACATTGTCTCCCGTGTGATCTGTATCCGGATGTGATGCGGAAAACTCTGGCAATTCAACGCAGCAATACCGTATGCGCGTCTCCCATAAGAACTACGGCCTCGTCAAAAAAATTTGTTAGCAAGACGAATGAACCAGCAAATGTGCCGCAAAATGGTATATAGTTCACTAGACTAAAGTTTCCGGTGCGGTCGATGCCTCTCAGGTCATGGAGCCTCCTACTTCACGATAAGCGTACGCAGCAATATGTTAACGCAGTGCGTACAGTACACCTGCACCAGCCGACCGTGCCACGTTCATATTCCTCCGGTGCTGCTCACTGTACCACTCAAAGGCCAGCACTGAGCATCAAGAGCGGACACAACATACAGAAAAGTAGACGGATTTCATGGCTCCATGAAATGCCCCAAGAGCCATTTGGTGCTCTAGAAACTAATCAACCTCGATTCACAAAGGTTATGAACAATCCATGCGTTCTGAGAGAATTTTCCTTTTTCAACGCCCGTGGGCGTGAATGTCACAGTGGCCTCTGCTGTGGACGCGATCCGCTCCTGATAGGTGCTCACCTCCGTTATGTCCTTCTCACCTCCTCGCTCACCTCGCCTCACCTCGCCTCACCTCCGCGAGTGACCTGCCGCGCTCTCTCAGCGCCGGCGGCCGGTCCAGCGAGCACTCTGGCTCAGGGCGCTCTGATTCAGAGCACCGGCTTGCGGGGGGCGCGTTTTCCTAACAAATCAGGGCGTGGTGCCGAGCGTCGCTAGGAAAACGGTCCGCAACTACTCGCTGGTATAAAAGACAACAGGGCGGTGGAGGTGCTGTCATTCCATTGGGCGGCGGAGGTCCACAGCCATGAAGGTAACTCCTGTCGTGCATCCACCGGCGTCCGGTGCCTCGCCTGAGCCGCAGCGAGCGGCCGTGCTGAAGACATTGCTCTGTCCAGTGTGCTTTCGACAGAGCGGGTGATTCGTGGTGGCTGCTGCGGGGGTCATTTCCAGCCCCCCGACGGTGGCTGGTCGCTCGATCCATCGCAAGCCTCGGCGGTGCTGGGCGCCATATGCGGTGACATGTGCGCGTCCACTCTTCTTCCGTTTGACATGAACTGCAGTGGTGCATCGACATCTGTTGACAGAACGATGAACCTAATAGCCAGCATATCATTGGCCAATCTTACATTTCTGCACGCAGGCTTCCTTGATAAACACATCCGTTACGCCCATGTAATGACTTTAAAGCCGCCTTGTTGTAGGATACTTTGATCGGCTGCTGATTGTTGTACATTAATGACTTAATGCGTCTAGTCTAGTACGTTTGGTCAGGCTACATGTTTGCGTGTCCAACTGTTAGGTCTCTAGACAGGGCCAGCCTAGAGACGTCTAGGTGTGTTTTAGCTTATCTTTCTACGCGTGCGTTTTTAGCTGATCGTTATATGTACATGTTTCAGCTGATCATTCTGACTACTCTGGTGGCGGCTGCCGCCGGCGGCCTCGTCAGTGGAAACTTAGGAGGACCGTATGGAGGACAGTTCGGAGGACCGTTCGGAGGACAGTATGCAGGATCGTATGGAGGACCGTTCGGAGGAGCGCATGGCGGCGTCTCGGGTGCCTACGGAGGGGATTACTACGCTGTCCCCGACTATAGCACGGCTTACTCCGTCAAGGACCCTTACTCCGGTGTGGACGTTGACAAGCAGGAAAACCGCCTCGGCCACAAGACGGAGGGTTCTTACTCGGTCCTGCTGCCCGACGGTCGTAAGCAGGTGGTGACCTACTGGGTCGACGGCAAGTCGGGCTACAACGCTGACGTCAAGTACTTGGGTGTTGCCAAGCATCCGAAGAAGCCCATCGCTCACGGCATCGCTCACGGCATTCCTCACGGTGCTGGCTTTGGAGGCATCGGCCCTGCTGGATTGGCTGGGCCGTACGGCGGTGGACACATTTATTGATTGTCTAGTGACGGTCACTGTCATGGAATGCACGGTCACCAATATACGTGAGCTGTCCAGTGCTTAGGCATGCTGTTTCTATTCATAACACTTGACTATTGTCGTGCCGATCCGTAATACAACCTCAGCAGCCATGAAAAGCAACCTAAAAGTTAGTAAAGGGAAAATATGTGTGTGGTTTCTTCCACTGTACAGGGTTTCATGATCTTGCAGACCAATTTGGTCATCTAGCATGTCATAATCGCCAGTGGTGTACCAAATGCAACGAAAAAAATGTGTTGAACAGCAGGTATCCAAGGGAAATCTTTCAGTCGTGCTCCAAGGACAGTTTTTAGAAGTTCAAGCCTATAACATGCAGTCATGTTTTCACTAGCGCATGATGCCTTTTGTTCTTTGGACAAATTAGGCAAACGATATCGCTTGCAAGATAACCGATACTTAAAGAGTTGTGTTCAAGGTCGAATCTAGCACAAAATCTGAGACGGAGCGAAACAAGGGAGCAGTGTATCTGTTTGGAATGTAGGAATATGACATTATCTATTTGGAGGCCGCGGGGCAAATGTGCCTGAATTGCGAGAATTACTTTCCAGTTTGGCATGTCTTTAGCAATTGTCTTGTGACGAATGATCCACACTGGTGGAGCAGGCAGGTCACTCTAAGAGAACGGCAAGTCAAGACATGTGGCAAAGCACCAACTACCAGGCTTTTGGTTAGACGCTTACCTGGCAACCAGGTACAAATTCCCAGTTTTCGCCAGCGTGCGGACCCCGCTGCCTCCTCCCCGGGCCTGCTGCTGTTCAGGCCCCGCTGCCTAAGCGAGCCCCGATGCCTGAGACAGGAGGTGCACCCAGTGGGCAGACGCTGTGTTCGCTCACCATCGGGATAACGGCCACGCAACGTCTGACGTGTCCACGCGCCTCTGCTGGGTTGCAATGGGACAGTCGCGCGACCCGGCGGGTCAAAAACTTTCTCGCGCGCCTCAAAGGGCGAGAATTCCGCCCATTGCGCAACCCCGCAGGCCAGGAGAACACACCACCAGGTGCTGTATGGCGTTCAATGTTGGACACATGGTATTCCACTGACTATGCGAAAATTAAGATATGACGGTTATTACTTGGCGTCATGCAAACACCGAGCGTTGAAATCCAATGGCTTTCCAGCGTCTTCAGGGTTCTGTCGCTTCTGTGCGAGTGTCAGACTGTCAGATGGTGTTGTCGGATGTGATGGCGCCGTGACTGTCGGATGAAAACAGAGCAGGACACGGATACCACCTCAGGCAGTGAAGTGAGCTTGTCCTTTAAAAAACAACAATAATCGCTCCGTCGGCGACAACCGCGAGGGTACTGGATAAAACACCGTTGTGCATTGCATCAGCTGTGCTCACTTCATGGGCGATGAGGCTCGCACAATAAAGAAACTGAGCCACACCAGCCTAATAAGTATGCAGTTAATGCGGTTGTTGGAACGTCCGAGTACACAATGGCTCAGCACCACACGGTGGACTTCGCAGGCGCCTGAGCATCTGATAACAACATCATTACCGGACTGTGGACGTGGGGCTCTGGAGGATTGTGTCCGGTGTGGACGTAGGGCTTTGCAGGACTGTGTCCAGTTGTGGCCGGTGTAGATGTAGGGTCCTGCAAGATTGTGTCCGGTTGTGTACGGTGTGGACGTAAGGCTCTGCAGGACTGTGTCCGGTTGTGCTCGGAGTGGACGTAGGGTTCCTGCAGGATTGTGTCCGGTTGTGCTCGGAGTGGACATAGGGCTCTGCATGATTGTGTCCGGTTGTGCTCGGAGTGGACATAGGTTCCTTGCAGGATTGTGTCCGGTGTGGACCCTCTTAGACTGCATCGACGTCAGCCCTTTGTTTGAACTATTTCAATTAAGCAATCGGATTGAACCATTTCCTAGGCACTGGTCTTGCTGACGGCCGTGGTCGAACTTTGATCTGCCATAGGTCGACAATGGTAAGAAATATATCGAATTTTTTTGTCACAAGATTGGCTGTTTAATTACTTACATGCATGCGAAGTTGGCTAAGACACAGCAAAGCTTGGTTTGACCCAGCTACGCCGAACTGTTCAGAAATTATTTCGCAAAAGCCCCAGGGGGTCAAATTGATTTCACTCCCGAGCGCCTGTTGAACAGCTAACAAGAACGTGGTGCTGAGTGTATCGAGATTGATGACACAGTCAAGCACCACCTGTGAGGACGCCGAGCTCCAGGTATGAAGCCGATGGAGGAATGTCACTGCTCCCGAAACACGGTCAAGGACGCGGCAGAGCTCGCTCCATCCGACGCGGTGCTGACTTCTCTAAGACGGGCCGGAACGTGATCCTTCTGTGCGCTAACAAAAACGTTGGCTTGCCGTGTGTGAGCGGATGTGGGAAAACCGGTCCTGCCGGCGCCCGTGTGGTTTCCTTGTGCCAGCTCCCTATTTTCCTGCGCGGCGCGAATTACGCTGGGACGGAGAGGCCGGAGTAAGCTGGCTCATGGGAACAGTGGGATATCTCTGCTGAGCTTCTGGACGTGGAGATGCTGCGCCAAGCGCACTTGCTTGCTTGCGGCTGTAGACAGCATGTGAGAAAGAGGTCTTTGCTTCATGTTGGTGAGACAGCAATGCAGTCCTATCTCATTGTACCTGATGTGAGAAAGAGATGCCTTCAGCTACTGGTTTTTCGGCACTATGTGTTCCGAGTTCTTCTGCTGAGTTATAGACATTCAGCATACCGGGAGGTGCTGGTTAGGTGTCATCACAGTCCATACATCGGTTAAAGTGGTAGTAGGTGCTCAACGCTTCAAGATAGGCTTTGAAATTGTTAACTAGATCTAGGTGTAGATGAATGATTGACATTTCGTGTGGCTATTTCACTAGTTACATCTCGTGTAGATAAATGGCTAGTTAGATTTCGTGTAGTAATTTTTCAGCTCCGCCTCCTGTAGCTGAATGCTTAGTTACATTTTGTGTAGCTGAACTTTATGTAACTCTCCCAGCATGGTCGACTTTGTGTTTTGAAGCAAAGCTGTTGACTTTGCGTTCTGTCCGTTCCGGGCGGTTCAGTTGGTTAGAGCGTCTCCTTTCCCATTCACCCACCCGTGGCGGGGTGGGTTCGAGTCGCTTTAGGGCGCTCGCAATTTGCCCTTGACAGGTATGGCCTGCGGCCGGTGGCAGCGGCCGCGGTAAAGGTCAGTTGATGTCAGAGGGCAGGACGGACCGTGCCGATCATTGTGGCACGTTAAGCTTTGGCCACCAAATTTTGCCGTTGACATGGAATTGCGCGATCGGGTGGTAGGGGTCAGGGCTCACACAACAAACACTGCTTAGCGTGAGCTCTGATCCCAGAAATTCATTCATTCAAAGGGTTCGGATAAAATCTTCTAAAGAAGCATAGTTACAGACTTGACGGATGAGCGTTTAGCAATGAAATGATGCGATCCAGGAGGCGGATCTTTAATGGCGGAATTGATGAGCCGTGTCCTGTCTTCTCGAAGGAAGGTCTGCACTGCTATACCAAACGATAAATACAACATAGCTCTAAAACAAGCTCTTCAAATACCTCGTCAAATAGCTCGTCTAAACGAGCTGTTTCAGGATGTATTTAAAAAACTGGACAGCCTATCCACTTGGAATTAACCATAAGTTTTCTATGAATGGCTCTGAGATATGAGTCATTGCTAAATATCGCTAGTTGCAAGGATCCTAACCCCAATCGCGGCAGTTCCACGATTCTAGTTCAACGAGAAATGTTTTCGAGAATGTTTCGACTGACAGGTGGTGCCCTAACACAGCCTATCACGGTGTTTTAACCTAACTCACTTGGCCAGCTGCCAACTGGCTATCGAGAGCGAGCCATATGAGCGCAGTTTCTGTGACGCGAGCTCGTGCCTGCTAAACCCACTATTCAGCGCTTGGCCTTCCACCAACCAGGCTGAAGGAACGCCATTGGACAGAACAGTATCTGACATCTCTCACATGGTGAAAAGATCGCTGAAGATCGTCCTACGAATGATTTTAAGTTGTTGTGCGGGCGGCAGCTGCATCTCAATTCCCTCCCCAGGACTTTAATATATGTCCTGGCGCGAGCACCACACCTCACCAGGGATAGATGCGAGCGGCAGTAGCGACCTCCGTTGACGTGGCGCGGCGGCGGAGTGCTGCGCTGCGCCCGGTAGTGCTAACGGTACGGCCTGCTCAGAGCACATATCGGAGCTAAATGGCAAGAGGCTGGTGGCAGTTCCATAGCCCGTGGTATGTGTGCGGCCCGTTTGACTATTCTTGTCATGGAAGGCATCGTTAATCTTTCAGCGAAGGTAACCTGAGCCGCAAAAAAGACAGCTTTATGCGTAATGGCGTGGCCTGATGCGTGTGGGCAAGAGCATTTGCTAGCATTTTCAGTACACTGCCAAAATAAAGCATACCTAAAATGTCACGGTGTACCTATATACCATAAATAAAATGTCACAGTGTACCCATATACCATAACTAAGATGTCACAATGTACCTATATATCATAACTAAAATGTCACAACGTACCTATAAGCAAAAGAAAGCCTGAACTTACTCGACGTTTTAAACAAACATGTTGACTTGAAAGGCAGAGTACGCAAAGAAAAGTGACCGAATAGACCTTTAAAGTAACCGACTTGAAAATAGCGTGGCCAACGCTTTGACGCATGTGGGAAGTTGACATGAGAAAGAAAGGCCATGAATCATGGTGTTTGGCGGTGGGGAGTAGGAAGTTTTGATGTCGAAAGCAATTGACCTTCAGGATACCAGGAGGTAGTGGTTGAACTACTTAATCAAAAGGCATTGGTTACATTGAGAAAATGCCACGTTTAGAAGCTGTGCACAATTTTTTTCGCAAAAGTCTATTAAGACCACGCAAATCACCCCTCCATTCCAGAACACACTGCACAAAATGGGCTGATTCTGTTCCCCGACACCCTGTGATATAACCAGATGGAGGACACCCCACCGAACTGTACTTTAAATCGTCCCGTCCCGCGATCTATCCTAGCCCGACCCGATAGCTCAGCTCGTTAGAGCGCTTGCCTCGCGGTTCACCCACCTGTGACGGGGTGAGCCTGAGTCGCTTTGGGCCCTCGTGGTTTGTTTCTGACCGAGATAGCCTGCGGCAGGTGTCAGCGGCGTGCTAAACGTCAGATGACGTCAGAGGGCGGTGCTAAACGTCAGATGACGTCAGAGGGCGGTGCTAAACGTCAGATGACGTCAGAGGGCGGGGTGGACCATGCCGAGCGCTGAGACACGGTAAACTTTCGCCGCATAGTTCTTCCGTTGACCCAAAATTTTGCCATGGGTTCAGGGCTCACCAAACAAGCAAGCTGTTTGACGTGAGCACATATACCAGATCAGTCAGGCTTAATCTGAAAAACTGACGGTCGCTTCAGTCATACTGTATTGTAATTTTCCACACTCAATCGATGCTAAAAACAGGCGTTGTATCAGTAATGGGGAGAGCGATGCGGATGTATTCTTATCCCCA